TATGGTTGCTGTAGACGTAGGGGTTGCGGTGTCGTTTGTTTCGGTAGTGGTAGTGGGTCGGTGAGTGTTTCAGGGTAAGGAAACTCAAGGCGATGACACATATAGATATTAAGAACCCAAATATCCTTGACCTACCGAAGCTTTTCAATCCAATGGAAAGCACACTATATTGTTTACAAGGCTTTTCTCCGAAATTCAATTCTTAGGAACTATTTCTCAAGTATTTCTACTCTATCCCGGCCTATCGATAATTTTTTTCAGTAGAATGGCATAACAAGGCAAGTCACTATCCTCTAGACGTATCTATTTGGACTTCATTTTTTAATTCAAATACCTGCATAGTTATTATGACCTCGACATCTCTAAGTATCTGCAGTTTTATGATTCTGAGTGGAACCCTATAATTTAAGGAACACTGAACTAACTTTTAAAACTAACTATGCAAGAACAGAATTATTTAGGTCGTCTTTTTTACTCAGAGTTGCTCGTCTTTGGAACAAATTACCTATATCTATTAGGAGAAGGGAATAACTTTCTATGTTCAATAATGACCTAAGACTCTACTGTTTTGTTATTTATAGCAGTGACTTAATGTAATTGTTATTCAATTTTAGTTAGCACTAAGTTTTAACAAATAGCATTTTACTATACTCGTTTTATGATACTGCCTGTCATTATGTATACTTTGTTTTTGTTCTCCTTTTCATATATATAGTTTCTGGTGGCCTTTATCATTAGGGAAGCTCATTCCTGTTGCTAGGTCTTCCAACAGCTATTTAATTATATGTTTGTAGGTACATATATTTATTTGCTGTAAATTGATTAAAGTACAGTTTTTCCCTTAACTATCGATCGCCGCCTGTTAAAACGACAAGTTGCCATGGCGCAGCATTTACTGCACAAACGTCGCTAGGTTTTTACCAATTTTCTTACAGTACAGGGCTTAGTAAAAATGGGAAAATAAACCTTTCTTACCCCAGCAGATGGCTGTGCAGAAAACAAAAAGCGCGAATGGAAATTTCACCATGTTCCTTTCCGACAACTTATCGGTCCTATCCGTGACAACAAAGGGGTGCTGTACGGGTCCACAAATGATCCCAGGACCGCGAATGATTCCGGACCCAAATTGGACCGCAAATGATCCCGGACC